AGACTGAGATTTAGATCACTTTTTTGGAGAGCTAGCAGCCTACTCCAGTTTGCTGCATTTGCCAGTGACCAAACAGTGCCTGGTCTGGACCACTTTATTTCAGCAGCAGGGTTAGCTCTTCTTTTTCTTCTTCTTCTGGATGGAAGAGTCACTTTAAGAATTGCTTCTGAGATCACACCCTGGAAGTGATTCTTTTTGGTACAATCCAGTGTGATCTTTACATGACCACCTGATCACATCCTTAGTTCTCTTTGGTACTTTAGTGTAAGGGACAATTTGTATGCAAAGCAAAATTCATTCAGTCACTGATATTGCAGTCCATTGAATATGCTATTTTATTGTGGAAAGGAGTCAAAATATGAACTTAGCACAATTTGGAATACATTGCATTTTGAGTCAGATGGCTAATCTCCATTTTGATTGATGACTTTTCAGTAAAAAAAAAAAGATAAAAGAAAGGGTGATTCTGTCTCCTGAAACAATACATTGTCTTTCAAGAAGAATAATCATACCCAAAGCATGTTGGGGCTTAGTATCAAACTAGACATGACATGGGAGTTCCACGAACTACTTTTGGAACTCCTTACATGGGAATAGTGGGTTATTCCTCAAGCTTCTATCACATTGTCCTACTCAACATGCTTCCCCACAACCTGATATAAGTATTTGACCCTTGTAGAGAAAGATCTGGGTCATCAGTATTCAAATTATAGATAAATAGTAACTTCAGAATTGCAATTCTCAGCAAACAGAGAAGGGTTAAAACCCTCCAAATGGCACAGTTTGTACCCAAAGGTTCTCTCTGTAAAATTAAAAAAAAATCAGTCAATGATGTCATAATTAGTCTGACTGATATATAGCACATATTGCTGAAAGAGCTTATTTAGACGTTTCTCCTTTACTTCTGTGAAGTACACACAAAGCACACATGCACAATCTGGTTCACAACCTGTTTGTAGTTAGAGTACTTGACATCCAAGAGAACATTTGTTGAAGTAACTGTATCACAATGGATTTGACATATGTTTCTTCAGCCCAGAGTCCTGGGTTGGCCTCTCCCTCAAGCTTATAGGCTTCTTCAATTCTATAACTTTTGCTTGGAACAGTACCCTCCCAGCCGTATTTGGGGGATTTAGCTTGTATCTCGTAATTTGACTTCTTTCAGAGATGTACCGTTAAACCTTGTACTTCTCAGAAGTATGTTGTTAGAACAGTGTACCCTCAAGTATATCTAATTTTAAGCATTCTCTCTATAGATGAAAGTTAGAAAAAAGTTTTCTCATATTTGCACACATTCACTCTCCATCCCATGAGAAACACTGCATTTTCTATCACAAGTGAGACTAGCGGCATCATACTTGTTAGAAATACAAGAGGAATTACTTGAGTAACCCCAACAGCAGCTTGGGGACAGAGAAACCGAGTTATGAGGCAAACATACAAATGATAGTTCAAAAATCGATATATAGCAAATATCACATTATGTTAAAAAACAGAAATGATAGGCTACCAGCCATACAGTTCCATAGATTCCCTGAGAACAGTTAACGAACTGGGGTCTGGGACTCGCCCATTGACTTATAAGGAAGGATTTGGCGTTATTTCCCCGCACTACCGCAGGCCCCCTCAAGTTTTGGTTAATTGGTTAAACTACGTTGGTTAATAAAGTGTGGCCCAGATTTAAATCCAATAACGGTTGTCTCGCGTCTTCATTTCGGGGCTTGGGGAGCAAAGCTTCATTGACTTCCAGGCACAATTTCCAAGTACTGGTTAAGATTAACAAAATTGAAAATATCAGCTGATCCAGAGTATGGCGATCAGAGAATTGACTAGGGATGGTTGCAGAAAATAGGCAACTTTGTTAGGACAGCTGCATTGACTTCCAGGCACAATTCCAAGTACTGGTTAAGATTAATAAAGCCTTACACAGCTTGGGACCAAGCTATTTGAAGAACACGGCCAAAGAGCCCGAAAAACCCACAACAACCATTATTTGAAGAAGTGTTTTTTCTCTTATGAAGCTGCATAGTATTTTAAGATTTTTAGGAGATGCACTTCTCAGCCCAGCTACATGTTTGGTGAAGCTTTCTCAGTACCTGATCTACAGCTCCCATCATAGGATAATATGCTGGCCTTTTCTTTGTTGTCTTTCTGATGGCAGGTACAGGCCATTTCATTCAGAGAGGTTTCTCTCATTTAATTTGGCTTGTTGTTGAAGAGGTAATTGGTTCCATTGTCATGCTTCTCTAACAGCTAAGAGGTTTTTCCTGATATTCAACCTAAATCTGGCTTCCTGTAGTTTGAGCCCATTGCTATCATCTGAGATTATTGAGAAATTATGGTAAAATTAGTTTAGGACTTTATTCCTATAGTGTCCTACTTGGGAGTAAGCCTCATCAAACTCAGTGAGGTAGATCTGTGAGTAGACATGTATAGGGGTCCATATTCCTTATTATTTGCTTAGCAATGAAAATATCTATTTTTCCCTAATGAGTAATGCATTTTAGAGCCCCAGAAAAACTTCAAGAGAATCACTTTATTTCTGTCTGCTTTGCTCCCACCATGAACATTAGAGACATTATTCTTTTTGTTTTCCTTCTGCTTTTCATTCACAGAATAGCTGCTCAGTTCTATCACTCAGGCAAATGCATTTAAATTGATGCATGAACAGCTCGCTATAAGGGTTAGGAATTATTCTTCTTCTTTTTTTTTTTGGAGTGATATAACAGGGAGAATTTAACATGCAGCTGCTACAGATTTTAGTAATTCAAATGATAAAGAAAAATGGTTTCCAATATGTACAATTTAAGACTTCACTATCCATTATTAAACACTTGTCACCATTCCTGAATAGGAGGAGCTGCAAAGTGATGTGCAAAAACTTGAAGGGAAAATTTATGGCTAATGAAAATTTGACTTTTTTAATACTATGGTGAAAGGTGTATATTATACATCAGTGTCCGTTCTGATTCTTCTTGTTGTTCTTTTCTTGCCAGATATCAGATGTGAACTTTGGATATGACAGCTAGGGAAGGGCCTTTCAGGTTTGCGTGAAAGGGTTAAAAAGCAACAACACAAAAGGTTCTCTCCCCCCCCCCGTGTTCTTGATTACCAAAAGACAGTCTTGTAAACATGAATGATTCATATTAACACAAGAGGGATACACTAACGTTTCCTCAGTTTTTTAAATGTTTCCTTCCTTTTAATATTTTTTTCGCTATTTGTCTGTCAAATAATTAGGGATATTTTTTCATTGAATAGGATTGCAAATGCTGCCGGCAGTAGCCAAATCCATTTCTTTGGACTTGTTTTTCTGCTGCGTCTAGACAGTTTCCCTGTGCCAACATGCTTCCTTTGGATCATTTTTTATCCCCTTCCCACATTGTTTTCACAGAACTTCCTCCCACATTGGTCCTTTCCTTTCTTGAATAAATTTTGCTGCCTGCTTTCTACCCCCTTCTGGAATCAAAGAAGCAAAGAGAAGACATCAAATGGCCAAGGAAGAAAAATCTTCTGACCTTCTGGGAGTTGTGGCTGGTTGGTTTGGATTGTATTTTCCTTGCTTGGTTTTTCATGATTTTTGTGATGGGCTGCTTTCTCCGTTGGATTCATTTTAAAAACAAAATTTAGTATATATTTATTATGTTAAACCCGTGTGTTGTGATGAATTCTGAGGGACTGTTTTGTTTGTTTCTGTGTCATTCTCTAATCACAGAGCATGGACTTTATGACTGTACTACTTGGACAATTTGGTTAAGTCTGATGACTTTGCTTTCTCAGATACTGTTGCCTGCTGTTTGAATAGATTGATTCTCTGTTGCATTGCCTCTGCTTTTCTTGAATTATTATAAGCTCTTTAAAGCTTTTCTGGAGTAGTGCCAGAAAACACAAAACAAAATGTCCTAAAAGAGGGAGGTTCTTTCATGTAAAACAGAGAGTTTATGCAAAAAACCCCACACAAAAATGAAAGAGACATGTCCTGAAAGAATGGAGGGGGGAACAAATATGGAAATTTTCATGATACACTTCCCCAGTGACAACCTTAAACAAAGATATTGTCCTGCATTCAACTCAATGTCCTAGGTTCTTCAGCCAACAAGTTTTGCTCTTTCCTATATTTCTTATCCTCGTCATTTTACTTTGAATAATTAACTCTAACAGTTCGTACTTTTGATTTCTCACCACACAAGAATCCTTTGCTTTGTGTATATTGTGTGTTTTATGATTCCTTAGTACTTAAGCATTTGCCTTAGCTCCTTTCTATTAGCCTCCATTTTGATACAGGAGATATCGAGTATTCCCAGGAAAACAACACTTCAAATGCCTCTATCTCTTCTTTTATGGTGCTTTACGAAGATGCCACAGGCCATAGCCCAAAAGCTACAACCACTTCAGATATGACTTATCCCAGCAAATATCCTTTCTGCCAAATAGATAACTACCACCACCCTTTTTCTCACCCAAAAGTTGGAGCCAGGATACTCTCAGGACTTGTGGGACATCCTTTCCTTTCAGCTAGCAAGAAAGTAAGGGCTGAAACCTTGAACCTTGTGCTTCTTTGGAATCACCAGTAAAGATCAAATTCAGCACCAAGCAACTAGCGCAGAGGGAATTGGAGTTTGAATTCTCACACTAATGCATGCAAGCACAAGTTATGGAGGTGTTTTTAAATTTTATTTTAGAACAGAATAGAGAGAAAAAACAAATTCTACTAAGGAACCAGAGAGCTTATATTGGAAATACGTAAATAAGGTGAAAGTAAGAAAGCTAGCTTACCTAAGCTCTACATATACAGGACAGGGGACCTCAGAAGTCAAGTAGTTAGGACACAAGAGACTCCAACAGGAAGTGAGGACAAAGGGGTTTACTTTACATTTATAGCTATGACCCATAGTAACATAGCTGTAACCCAACAATGAATCACAAGCTGTAAAGCACAAACATTTCCAGACCTCTTGCATATGCCTTGATTTTCTCAAGAACACCAAGTATATGTTGAAGAAGTGTCCTAGGCTCTGAGCCTGAGGCAGAAGAGCAAAGTCTCATTTCTTCAGAATTCCTGTGCTGAAATTCACAATTCCACAACATAGGATATAATAACCAGGAACACCCTGCAGTGATCCATTCTACCTTGTTCTGGCCCAGTTCATGGTGTCTTTCTTGAGGTAAGATTTTGCTCACATTGGCAAGAATGAAAGCTGGCAGAACATTCAGAAGGGCTGCATTTTAGATTCTTTGCCCCCATTCAGTCAGCCTTAATCTAACAAGGCAACAGTTGGAACTTGTAAGGACAGCTGGAACAACAAAAGAGAGAAAGAAAACAACAAGCTATGGGACAACAAGCTGAAAGAATGTTTGTTAGCCAAGACAACCAGTGGCCAGGAAAACTGTGCTCTTTTTTCTTGTTCTTCCTGGGAAAAGACAATCTTAATAGCAAAAGTGAGGCCAGGTGGAAAAGGGTTTACACTGAATTGGTGTTAATCTATCCGCAGTGGGCAATTGTGTAAGTTACAAATATAGCCAGTAATTCCAAAGAGTTTGGCAGCTGCTGCTAGAAAAAGGTCTAAGGACAGCTATATAATTCAAAGCAGGATTCACTCAGCTTTTGTGGGAAAGCGCAGCAGATTCTGGCACAAGTGTGAATGTCTATATGCTGCACAATGGCCTTTTTATTTTTATGAATATTGAAACATTGGCTGCTACAAGAGAGATAATGGAAAACAAACACAAACATTTTTCCATGATGGGCAGAAGCTCTGATAATGACCCACTTTGCTAGAGATACACTGAAAATCCGCTTTAAAATAGCATAATGCCCAAGGGAGAAAAATAACTTGTCGAGGTTGTTTTGTTGCTTTATACATCGTTTAAGAAATCTATTTTAACTTCTAAAAAGGATTCCTAGCTCCAGAGAAAAGGCAAGGTAGAAATGCAAATTAGGATGGAAAGACTATGATATTACTTATTAAGAAAAATAAAGATTAGGTTGTTAGTCTGATCCTATTTTAAATAATAGCAGCAACAGCAATAAATCCTACTTAAATTTAATTGGAACAAGTACCTTTGAGTTTATGAGAACTTATTACCTGGTAAGTGTTCATTTGATAGCATCAGTGCACCATTTCACAGAACTAAGGCTTATTGCATTCTATGGAACTTTTAAATACTTGCACATATGATCGTAGTTCCAGTACCCAAGAATAGGTTCTTAGTTTTGCATAATGATTTTCAGATATGGCTGTGTACTGACATCTGAAAACTGAATTGGCCTAATTTGGACCTATTTGTATGAGGAGACGTTGGCGAGTGGAATGGCCTGATTCCAGGATGAAGCAAACTGAATTTACAAATCAATTCAAATCTAGGCCACACATCAATTTCGTCTCAAATGCTGAACAGGACACAGAGCATCCTGTGGAAAGCGCCCTGTCCATATAAAAGTGTCCTTCAAAAGCAAAACCCAATAACGGAAAGTCTTCAGGATGCACAAGTAAAAGCCTAAAAGCTGATTTGATGTCAGATTTTCCTAACTCTGTCCCCCACCCCACAGGCACGTACCATGCAAACTGCAACGTCAAATGATGTATAACGGACACTGCAAAGCTCCTGCGGGATTCTATCATTAACTGAATCCCCTTCAGTGGATCAGCCTAAATTCATCTGCAGCCTTCTTTGGCACTACTCCAAGTGGAGATACCCTTAAATCTGGTACTGGTGGGGTAGGAAACAGACCCAACACTCTGCCTTCCACCGTTTCTTTACTGATTTATTTCCCTAACTATAGCTTCCTGACCCACTACTGATCTCAAGTTTTTGGTCAAGGTGGCCACCCTATCCCCCACGACTGGGATACTAAATCCCTACTTAAACCCTTCCAACAAATACAGTACTTGGCTACTGCCCTATCTGGGTAACCTTGTAGCCACCTTTGCAAAACCTGGATCTTAATTGGGCTGTGGCCCTTTTGGAGGATTATCTGAACCTGGAAGTGGTTTCCTATGCTCTCCCTTGCCCCTGCTCCCCCTCCTCTACCTTTGAAACATGTGGTTGCTGTGTGGGGTCCCCCACATGTGGGGCATTGGTGACAAAACTTAAAGGGCCGTCTGTTACAACACCCTTGGATGTTGAATTCCCAACATACCAAGCGGGGTTGAAATGCCTGTCTTGCCCAAGAGAGGGAAGAGATGGGATGAGTTCCTTTCTTTTTACATTTTTTTTATTATTTTCCAAAACAAATACATCAATACAAAACAATACAAAATACTGACTAACAATCTAAAACCCAGTGCACTCCCATACCCATGGGACCCTTTGGAGTAAATTTTTTTATTACAAGACTATTTTCCAAAATTGTATTGATTGCTGCTTAGAGGCTTTCCACTTTCCTTTCACTAATGCAAATTCAATAAATCTACCCCAAATAGCATAAAAAAAATTTCAGACTTATTCATCTTTCAGTAGTCAATTTGTCATTTAACACAATGTCCCATACTTCATTATACCAGTCTTCTAATTTGATATCATGTTTGTCTTTCCAATATTTAGCAATTAATAATCTACCACTTGTCATAAATTATAAATCATTTCCTTTGAGTGATAATCAAGTTCTATCTTACAATTGACAGTAAAGCAATTTTTGAGTGAAATTCAATATCTTTCCCAACTTTATCGCAAATTTGGGTAAAAATCAGTTTCCAAAATTTCTGAATCAATTTACACTCCCATCACATATGATAATACGTGGCAATTTCTTCATCACATTTCCAACAGTCCTTAGAAAAGTCTGAATTTATTATGTTCAATTTCACTGGAGTCATGTATCACCTTAAACTAATTTTGTAAAAATAGGGCTGTCCCTTTATACACTAAGAGTCATGTATCACCTTAAACTATTTTTTTTTTAAAAATAGGGCTGTCCTTTTATACACTAGGTGTCCACTGGCAAACCTTTCTCCAAGGATCGGTCATGCAGGGATCATGTATCCAAGCCAAAGCCAGTTGTGCAGCACGTCCCAGCACATCCTAGGGTGCATCACCACCATCATACAGAAGCCTTCATCATAAGAAAGCCATGCATTCCCTGGGAAATCAACATATGCCCTAGATATCAGGTCCATGTACTGTATTAAGGAGAAGGCCCATTCTGGTTGGGCTCTAATGATGGTCCCAGCTTAAATAAAGAATCCCAGTAACCAATTGACCCAGCACCTTTCAGGATTGTGCCTACACATCTTCTCCCTTTCCCTCTCATCCTCCTTGTCTTTCTTCATTTCTTCCAACTTTCTATTCAGTAACTCAAAAATATCAACATACTTTCTTTTTCAAATTTTCTCAATAGTAGTGGAGAGGAGGTGGTCACCAAGCAGCAATGATTGGTAACCCTCAGGGAGTACCTCCTGAGGAACTAAATTGTAACTGGTGTTGGGAATCTGTCTGTTGGCTGACCCATCTGAGCTTAGACTTGTGCTTGCCTGAGGAGCCACCCCTAGCAATGTTGCTGTTCCTAAACTTCCCACCACTGGGGTTCCTGCACCTAGTTGACTGAAAGATGTAAACTTCCCACCACTGGGGTTCCTGCACCAGTTGACTGAAAGATGCTTGTAGGGAGAGCGGGATAGCCTGACCCCAGGTGCCCCATGGCCAATACCCTAAACGTGATGTGCCCAGTGTGATGTGTAACTCACCTGGCACCGCCATTTCAGCTTGTGGTGTGACTGGGACTACTCCACCTGGCACACTATTGTCTTCTTGACTTTTTGCCTACTCGCTGACTCAGCTGGTGCCTCCTCAGTTTGCTGCGTTGAAGCTATTGGGTCACTTTGCCATCTCACCGGTGTATCCCTAGCAGCAACTGCATTAGGAGGTCCAGGGTGTTCAGCTTCTAGAATAGCAATGCAAGAGAGCATAATGTCCCCCAGTTTCTTTTTAATGCGTTGAAGCTATTGGGTCACTTTGCCATTTCACTGGTGTATCCCTAGCAGCAACTGCATTCGGAGGTCCAGGGTGTTCAGCTTCTAGAACAGCAATGCAAGAGAACATAATGTCCCCCAGTTTCTTTTTAAATTTTTTTTAATATTTATTTTTAAACTATTAAGGATAGGGTAGGGAGTATAGAAGGTAAAAGGCAGTGGAAGGGATGGAAAAAGGATAAGAGAACACAAAATATATAATCATCCAATCTTTTCATATTAAGTATATAAACATGTAATCTATTCATTTTCCAATAAAATCTCATCTTTCTACTTCTTTTTTAAAACTATTTGATTACCCCCTAGCTTTCAACTTGCAATTATGTTATAATTTGAATCTAAGTTATTCCAACACTATCAGGAAACCGAGACCAGTTGTGAAATACATCCCCTCTTTCAATTTCCTTTTGTTTTAGACATACATTCAACAGGCCTAACAGAATATACATTTCAATCACTTCTATTTTCTCAATATGCTTCTTTTGTTTCTGTGACTCTTATTTTCCATTTTTTGAGAGGGAAAGACAGTTCCGAAACAGTTATTCAATTTTTAACCTCAGATTTTCTGACTGTTGTAGCTACATAGCTTACTGGGTGACACATAATCTCCTTTATATTGCCTGGTATCGCACTCAATACACACAGTTCTGGCATTTCTTTTAACTGTAGTTTAACATCTGGTATTTTCTCTTCCCTTAAATCTTTCATTAAGTCTTCGATCTGGCTAAGATGCTCATTTACCTGCTTAAATCCTGTCAATATTGTCATTTGCATAATAACTTGCCATTCTTTATCTGACAAAGTCTCTGACCATTGATATCTAATTTTTCCAGGGGGCAATTCCATCTTTCCAGTATGTACAATCTGTATATATAACGCTCTTTAGTTTCTTAAACTCCACCAATTTATGAGGCGTTGGATTGTTTACGTGACCTACGCTGCTCGGTTGGACCTGAGGCTGCCCTAGCCTGTGCTCTTTCCCTCTCAAAGGCACTCAATGTCTCCCATATGGCAGTGTAATCCAGCCAATCCTCATCATCTGATGAGGAAATTACAAGCCAGGATTGAGACAGTGCCTTGTGTTTTGCAGAATGCTTGCCGTTACTGCCCTCCCAACCTTTTTTGGGTGCCATAATGCCTGTGTAAGCTGGCATTACACACACTATTTTAACACTCTAGTTGCTCCCAATCCACTAAATACTATGTGTTAATTTTTTTAAAAAAAAATGTTAATTAATAATTCTTATTACTTTCCTTTTTATAAAAGTTGTAAAGCTGGGCCAGGTGTTCCAGAACCTGAACTCTCAACCTCCAGCAGTACTCAATATTATAATTGGGAATATTTAACTATAGCAGTGATGGCGAACTTATGGCACGGGTGCCACAGGTGGCACAAAAAGCCCTTTCTTCTGGCACGTGACGAGTTAATGCCCTCTCACCCGCCCTTGTGGATAGAAATGTTTTGAAGTGGCTGCAGCCAGGATTCCCTCTTTCTCTTCCAGTTCTGTGTCTGTCATCATGACTCCTCCCCCTTTCTCTTCCCACCCCCTTTCTCTTCCTGTTCTGTGTCTGTCACCATGGCTCCTCCCCCTTTCTCTTCCCATTCGGTGTCTGTCGCCATGATTCCCCCTGCAACTACCACTTCCAGTTCCGGTCTTATGGGTGGCATGACAGCCAGTGGTTTCTCTCCCCCCCACTCATTTTACCCCACTCATTTTGGGCACGCGAGCCCAAAGAGGTTTGCCGTCACTGAACTATAGTATTAATAATATTAAATTTCAGCAAGGAATAAAGAGGAGTTTGGCTCTTTTTACTCCCAAGGCAGCCTATAAACAGTGTAAGGATATTGGGTATGGGCTGTAAGCCTTCTCTCCCCTAACAAGCATGCTTATCCCCTACCCCAATCCATATTTGAATGCTTCCTAATTAATTTTCTTCTTCTTTTTAATTTAAATCTAAAATCAATTAAACAGCCTTGGCAAGGCCACCAAGGCTGCTCTTTATGGCCTAAAAAAGACCCCAATTGATGCAGAGCCCAATGGTGCCAAGCATACTATGTTCAATGGTTCAGGAAATGAAGTTAGTATGCAAACTAACTTTAATTTAGTTAGGTCATCTTCTCCCCTTCAGTTACAGTCATCCTTATCCTGCGGCCTGAGTAATGACTCTCAATCTCCTCAGCTATCTGACTTGGTAGACCCCATGTTTCAGCATAAGAGTCCCGCAATTAAAATTTTGTCTTGGAATATTGCGGGTTGGCAGACGAAGGCTTCGGATCCTGCTTTCATTGAATATATCAGTAACTTTGATATTATTCTACTACAAGAAACGTGGTCTTTAAAGGAGCCAATGTTAAATGGTTATGTGGCATATTCTATTAATGCCTCGCCCAGTGATAGAGGAGGTTGACCCAAGCGTGGTATGGTCACTTTCTTATCAACAAAGTTACAGGCATAAGTAGTGACATGGGATTTTTCCAACAGGATAGCTTCTGCCTTGACACTGAAAATTGCTTGGTGTTTGTTACTACTTATCAATGTTTATATTCCTCCACAACAATCTTGTGTGATGACAGATGACTTGTGGGTTAACCTAGAGTACTACATTGATCATTTAACACAATTGTATCCTGATGCTTCTATAATAGTCACTGGAGATTACAATGCCAGGATAGGTACAAATGGTGAGACGCTTTCCGGAGCCTCTTCACAGAGGCTGCACACCATTGAAAGGTACCTTGTGTTTTAGTGACAAAACCGATTTAATTTGCATAAAGTGAAAAGGTAAGCCTGATTAGCTGGCACCAATTATGCCCAGAATCCTATGGGCGATTAATTCATGTATAAGTGAAGTCATATGCATTGCACTGTCAAATTGCTGCTAGGAATCAAGGTTCTGGCAGCATTTCTGGTTGTGTGTCTGTTTGCTTGATGGGCAGAAGGCCAGGAAATGACTGGCATCTCCTTAATTAGTGGCAATGCACTGCTGCAACTTACATGATCTCACTTCCGTGTAAATCATCAGTAGGAGTCTGCTAACATTTATTCTTGAAGCTCTGAATTTATTGTTATTTCTAGGGTTCCTCTTGGCACATATACTCCTTCAGAGGAGGCAGTGTAGCTGGCTCTTCCCCACCTAGAAATTTGGGGTTTAGATTTTTCAGTGACCCAGAAAAATTCAGAGAGTTAATCTAAGCACATTATGGTTTCCTTACAAGCTTTGTATCAAGGAAGTACTATGCCACAAATTTTCATGACTAAGACTTGCTTAACCTGACCCAAAAACCCAGATTCTTTTTAGAGAAAGATTAGTGGGAAAATGGGGAGAGTGTAGGAGTACTCAATAAAACTGAGACTGGAATGGTTCCAGTTTCTAATATGCTAAAACATAGGATGAATTTCTAATCATTACAATGGCAATTCCGGGCTGTACCACCTGGCCTCTGGCTCTTTTTAGCCTGTGCATCTAATGATATGCTGAGGGAGGCATCGTCATTTCATACCTTCATGCATAATAGTTCCGTGTGTGTTAAGTGTGCAGACCCAAAAGGGGTTCCAGTCTTCCTCCTCTGAAGTCTATTGATTTTGAATGACAGGTATAAGGGATCCAAAATCCCTCAGTGTCTCTCTTCTTTACTTGCACTGCCGCCAGAGACATTCTGGAAATTTCCCCATGCACTGAAAGAACACCTGAGGGACTCAAAGGGCACATATGAGCGGTGGCCATGCTTACTGCCGCATACACTTTGACTGGTATGTGAAGGGCATCTCTGCATGCCATGATGTATACATGCAGATCTCCTCATGCAATGGAAGACCACAACTCACACACCAGCTGAGTGAATTGACAGCAATTGACACAACTGTTGTATGCTTGTGGTATTGGAGATAGCCTGTGTTTCTTTGCTTTCTTTTGGTTTATCAGGGACTCAGACCCAAAGTCCAAGTCTTTGGTACTGAGTCCTGAGGCCCAAGCCCCAAGTTCGAATCCCTATTAAAAATAAGCTTCCCCCCACCTGAAAAATGGGAGGGATGGGTGGGTTCTGAGTCACAAGTGTAGTCCAAGTAATTAAAAACAAAAACAAAACTGAGTCAAGTCCAAGTTGAATGCCACTGTGAATTAAGTTCAACTGACAACGAGTCCCGCAACTCGAGTCCACATTCCTGGTCAGTATTGTGTTAGGTAGCATAGTCTAGTGCTGAGCTTTTGCCTATTGAATACAAGAACATATTCCAGAATTTGTAGTTAAGAAAAGAATAGAAATTGACATTTATTACTTCAGGAAAACCTATCAAACACTTTGTAAAAAAAATGGTCATGACTACAGAAGTTCCTACAACTAGCTTTATTAAAGTCTAACTTTGGGTTTTGCTGTTGATTATTAATAATGAAGATCTTACTCTATTATATTTAGGACATGGCAGCTACCAAGACTTTAAGACATGGCAGCTAATCAAGCTACTTCAGTGTGCTTTGCTGGAAATGCCTTCTTAATTCCTACTGTTAACCTAGCAATGTCATGCTAGGCCAAACTGATAGACATCAGGAGTTCAGTGTTGAAACGGTCTCCTCCTGCAGTCATTTGTGTCAAACTACAGCTGGGTCTCAAGGATGCCATCAAAGCAGTGAAGTTAAGGGTATGAGACATTGAACTACAGGACCATTTTGGCCAGTTAGGGAAATATAATTTTCTAAAGAAATCTGCTTTTATCTCCTCCTCATATTTAGCCAGCACTACGTCATCTAAAGCCATAAGGGCTTTTACGCTAGCTAGGCTCAATGTACTTCCTTCTAAGCTTTTGGAGGGAAGATTTCGAGGTTTGCCTACATCAGACTGTCTCTGCCCTTGTAACAGTGAGAAAGTTGAATCAGTTGGTCATGTTCTCCTTTTCTGTACTTGTTATCGGGATCTTCGTATAGAGCTTTTATCACCTATTATCTGTAAATCTCCTGGGAGATCAGAGGAAGATTATGTCCAGCTGTTACTCTCTGACAATACCCCTTATATTACAAGACAAGTGGCCAAATTCTATGTGGCAGCAATGGTTATTTGTAATCAAATGTTTGCGTAGGTGATTTTAGATGGATATGTTTTTAATATAACTCTGTCTGAGGTTTTCTTATATTAAGTATACCTGATGTCATTAATTGGAAAGAAGGGGTTGTTTTATCATGTTTTAATGGAATTTTATTACCCTGACTGATTTTACCAAACTATAATTATATGTATCTATTTTATATTGATTTGGTTTTACTGGTCTTTGACCGTAATAAAGTATTCATTCCAATTCCAATGAAGCTCCTTTAAGAACGCTATTTGGGTCAAGCAGCAAAAGTGAAGCCACTTTGATGCATTGAGACTCCTTCAAGTAAACAAAGGGAAAGAGGACTGCTCAGGCAAGGGGCCAGCCTTCTTAAAGGCTTGCCCTTAGCCTGCCTGCTGTCCTCCCAGCATTACCTGTGTCATCTCTCCAGACAGGTGGGCAAAGGAGCCTCTTCACAGAGGCTGCACACCATTGAAAGGTACCTTGTGTTTTAGTGACAAAACCGATTTAATTTGCATAAAGTGAAAAGGTAAGCCTGATTAGCTGGCACCAATTATGCCCAGAATCCTATGGGCGATTAATTCATGTATAAGTGAAGTCATATGCATTGCACTGTCAAATTGCTGCTAGGAATCAAGGTTCTGGCAGCATTTCTGGTTGTGTGTCTGTTTGCTTGATGGGCAGAAGGCCAGGAAATGACTGGCATCTCCTTAATTAGTGGCAATGCACTGCTGCAACTTACATGATCTCACTTCCGTGTAAATCATCAGTAGGAGTCTGCTAACATTTATTCTTGAAGCTCTGAATTTATTGTTATTTCTAGGGTTCCTCTTGGCACATATACTCCTTCAGAGGAGGCAGTGTAGCTGGCTCTTCCCCACCTAGAAATTTGGGGTTTAGATTTTTCAGTGACCCAGAAAAATTCAGAGAGTTAATCTAAGCACATTATGGTTTCCTTACAAGCTTTGTATCAAGGAAGTACTATGCCACAAATTTTCATGACTAAGACTTGCTTAACCTGACCCAAAAACCCAGATTCTTTTTAGAGAAAGATTAGTGGGAAAATGGGGAGAGTGTAGGAGTACTCAATAAAACTGAGACTGGAATGGTTCCAGTTTCTAATATGCTAAAACATAGGATGAATTTCTAATCATTACAATGGCAATTCCGGGCTGTACCACCTGGCCTCTGGCTCTTTTTAGCCTGTGCGTCTAATGATATACTGAGGGAGGCATCATCATTTCATACCTTCATGCGTAATAGTTCCGTGTGTGTTAAGTGTACAGACCCAAAAGGGGTTCCAGTCTTCCTCCTCTGAAGTCTATTGATTTTGAATGACAGGTATAAGGGATCCAAAATCCCTCAGTGTCTCTCTTCTTTACTTGCACTGCCGCCAGAGACATTCTGGAAATTTCCCCATGCACTGAAAGAACACCTGAGGGACTCAAAGGGC